GGGGGGTGCCCCTTTTTAAACATTTATGCTATTTTATTTTTTCATCTCTATTAGTTGTCTTAAATCATTTCTTGAACAAGGTAGGGTATAAATAAAATACATAAGTAAAATTAAAATGAACGTTTAATAAAAAGGTGAACACTAAAATTTGACGGCCGCACAAAACCTGCTGCTTGTACGCCTAATATTTTCTTCTCCATTGTTTTATTACTGAACTCGCAGCAAATATAAAAGCTTTCAATTAGATTCTCTTTAAGAAAGCAAAAAATGAGGTATTTTCGTAGATAATGCAGAGCTAGAGCATTAAAATTTCAAGAAGCAATTGTTTGAAATGCCCAAAGCAGAAAGGTAATAACTAGCTTATGGTTCGTTAAAGAAAACGTTTTTAAATTTAACCTCATGCTGTTGCTGATCACATTATGAGAGATTGGAACTGGCTGGATATCCTAACAGCTCCCTCTCTACCCAGAGGCAAGACGACCAGAGGCCTTAGGGCCCCACTGGGAGTACTCTTGACCCACAGTGCTCAGTCATGTTGTTACTGAAAGGCAGAACCTTTGCCTCTGATCAGATCCTGCCCTCTCTGCCTGATCTCTTCAAAGCTGACAGCTCAAAACCTTATCTTTGGGGCCCACGCCACCTTTACCCCGATACTTTCTGGACTATACCTTGCACCCTACTCCCATGCTTAGCCCCAGCTTCTGGGAACCCCGCCCCGCTGCCCTCCAGGTTAAACTCATGACCTTGCAGGAGGCAGAGAGATAACTGTCTTTGGAAGAGAATAAACTCAGTCTTTTGAACAGAAAGAGCAAAGAAAGCTTTGGGAATTCATAACCTAATGCTAACCACAAGTTCTGGCACTGTTTTTCATTAGTACAAGATGGACAGCAAATTTAGCCAGGAGGAAGCATAACGAAACTTCATCAAAAGCTTGTACGTGTATATCTTTGTAAAATAAGCAAAACCTCATGCTTATCAAAATTCAAGAAATAACAATAAATATTAACTAAATATCTACCAAAGCTGGGCATTTGATACATAGTCTCACTACACTGGAATGCTCCAATATACAACATTCTGGCTCAAGGTCAAGTGCTTAATACATTGTTACCTGTTACTTACATCTCAATGGCAAAGAAACTGCAAAAAGGTTAAACTACTAGCCTAGAGGCACCAAACTCCCAGAAGAGTAAAACCGGGACCCCACACTGACAGAGCTCCGCGGTGCTGCCTCCTTGTGCTCTCTCAGGAACTCCATCCAGCATTGTGGCAGATAATTAAACAGAACTTTGAAATGACTTGTTCAAAGTCACTTGAGTGGCAGTATGTGCTGAAACTCCTGCTCCTAATGACCGTGCCCCTCAGCCTTTACTTCCAAGACACCGGAGAAATGTGATCCTCTGGGTAAGTTAGGTTTTTGGACAACCAAGGCTTACACCCTACTTGCCCAACGCACACAGTCTAAGCGGGGTCATTGTCCTCAATACCAAACTTTGAACATAACTAGATGAGACACTTGCTGAGGAATGACATTCTCAGATCCAGTTTTACAGCCCGTCATGAGATTAGATGAGCCATGAATCAATACACACACACACCTCACCTATTTAGCGGGGCCTGAGTGTGCCTAGTTGACGACCCCCATGCTCAGTTTCTGCATAAGGCCAACCCATTCTCACTGGGGGTTTGGGTGACCTTGCTCCCAGGTTGATCCTGATGAGAAGTGGCCCTTTCCTTCCCTCTGCAGTCCAATCTCGAATGTCTGCCCCACTCTGTGGTGTGACCTGCAGCCAGAGAAAGAAATCCAGACAACCAAGACTTGTGGAAAGAACACTGCAGCCTATGCCAGGGAAGGAACGAAAATGCGGGGCCTTCGGGAAAACGTTTTATTGGTCGGTGATGATTCTAGTTTCATGATGGTTGCTGAGGATGAAGACCCTGGAACACTCACCTACGCTCGTGCGCTACAAGAAAAAAACCTTTTTACTTCAGTTTATTTTGTACTCAACAACTGTGTGTGTGTGTTTTAGGTATTTACAACTTGAAAAAGACATTGGTTTCTTTAAGGCTAAAATCGACAGGGACGAGAGATCTTAAAACTTGGTTACACACACTGCTAAGTGACATGCATAACAATGAAACTCAAAGGTAATTCAACATTGGTAAAGCAGGAATTAGTGTAAATTATTTAGGAATAAATTAGGCTTAACACATGTCAATTAAAATGTCTTCAAAATGTATAAAGATCAAGAACATTTCAGTCTGCTTTACTGTTCAAGAATCCTTTCTCCAAATACATTTTGGAAAATCATCTCAGAAATCTCAGATCAGTTAGATTTTAGGGACCTGATGATGCATCTGACTATACTACGCCAGAGATGGCAATCCGGTTTGTGTGCCCAGGTAATGACAAACTACTCTTCCCAACAATGTCTGGCAGGCAGACAAAAGCTCTACTCTCAACAGAAAATCCAGAACACTAGAGAAAAGGAATCATTAAAGATCATACAAGTCTTGTGGATAACAGACTTTGGTGGTCCTGTCTAGCTGCCTGTTTTACTCTCTGGAACACAATTCAAGGGGATATTTTAAAGTTTAACACCTGGGAAGGGAGATTCTTAAGCTGACTTTTGACATTTCTATTTACTCCAATTGTTGTAGCTACATGTATTACCTGTAATTTTTACATTTTTAAATAGATTTCCTTGGATTTGTGTCAGGTTGCTTCTACCTGAGATTCCTAGGGAGAAGGGTCTGAACTTCTGAACACTGAGAGTTTTGAAGATACTCTTGAAGGTGGGAACAGGATCTCACCTCCTACGGTTATACTTAAATGGTGTCAAGCTGTAGAGCTGCCGGCAAACACATAAACAGATGTTACCTTCTCCTCACCACTCGTCAGAATCAAAATCACTTCTATTTTTTCTTTAACTCTCCAACTAATTCACTTTGTTTCAACTTCAGGTTGATTTCTAATTTCACAAAAAAATCCTAGTAGATATCAAGTCCAGAGATCACCTTCGGAGCTTCTCCTACAGAGTCGAGAGATAAAATTAGCTCGATACACCTTTTAAACTGAGTTTGTTGACAAAGGCAACACGAAGTGACTTAAGCAAGAGGACATGTTTCATAGGGATTTCACCTATGGCCATAAACACGAGAAGTGACTTTACTCGGAGAGAAATAATTTTTTTTTTTTTTTTAAGAACTATTTCTTTGGCTCCCATCCATCAGCTGAGTAACAATGACAGGCCCTCAGATTCCAGCAGTTTCAAAGTGTACTCTTGACAAATGTTTGCCTAGGACTCTGGCCAAGGCTATTACTATAGATCTTCTTGATTATCTGCAGCTGCCTAAGATTCAGTAATCCTGGTAAATGGGTTAGTGGCTGCTCAGTTACTAATAACCTAGCTAATTATCAACGAGTGACAAGAAAGGCTGATTTCAGAAAGGCTGGTTTCATTGATTGCTTTCCTTCTAAGAACCAGAGAAAACTTAAAGAATAACAAGTCAAACAGCTTCACCCACAGGGAAAGAAACTGAAGGCCAAAGTGATCTACCCTAAAGCCTTAGTGTTGATCATTTATAAGAACTCCAGGTGCACTATGGCGGCCTAACTTGATTTGCAATTCCCCAAACTGGTTCATTGGGTGTTTTAAATAGCAGCTAATATATTTGAGGGGTTCTGGTGTGGGGTGCCCGGGCACACAGTACCAAAAGCAGCAGCTCTGCAGTCAGAGGACTGGTAAGCTAGGGTGACAGCACCACATGGAGGTCGGGAGTTGGGGCTCCAGAATCAGACTGGCCAGGGCTGAATTCAGGTTCTTGTACTTTCTAGTGGTTTAACTTCCGGCAAGTTTCTCGATCTCTCTCTGCCTCAGTTTCCTCTGCCTCAATAATTCTTTGAATCAAGAATTATTATCACACCTACCTTCAGGGCTGACTGAGAACGAGATAACATGAAGTGTTAATTCAGCATTCAGAAAAAGTCAGCTAAGTTAACGTTATGCAGACAAACCCTGACAACTCATACTTGACCGGATTTGCCCAGGACGGCCAAACCCGGCAAGTTCTGATCGCTGAAAAGCCTGAGATGGAGTTAGTGATTCTCTGGCGGGGCTCGGAAGACCAAACTCCGCAGCTTCGAGAGGAAGGATCCGCTTTCTGACTTGACCTTGGAAACCTTCCTGCCCTTCACGTTGATCGTGACTGGACTAGTCGACAAGGAAACTTCCTGAGCCCCTACTCCGTGTGAGACGCTCCCTTATTATCTTTTATTCGGAGAAGAAACAGGGTACCAGCACCTGGCATGTGGAAACGGGCGCACAGGCTCAGGCCGTGCTTGGGACCCCATTTCTCTCCCGGCTTCAGAGTTTCGACCTAAACTGCAGCCTCCCGATGGAGGCTCTATGTCCGGGAGGCCTTTCCTTCCATTTCTGGACAGCTGCTCCGGGGAAAGGAGGACACGAGACACGTGCCTGAGCCTGGACACACCTCAGAGACCGGACATCTCCAAGGAAGACTCTGGGACCGGAGGAACCCCTGAGGAGGGTCCCTGGTGGCTTTGACCTTGGTGCCTGAGACTCAGTTTCCCATCCCGCCGACCGGGGGCGATGACACGGCCCCTCGGGCGGGGCAGGCGTGTGAGCCGAGCGTGGCACCAGGTCCGGGGGGGCCTGGGAACTCGACTCCACCTCCACCACCGGCACCCTGTCCCCTCCTGCGGCTGCGGAGGGCTTTGGCCTCGCCTGGACGCAGCGCGTGCGGCGCACTGACGGCCGAAAGCAGGGGCAGAGGCCGGCCGCGACACCCCCGGAGGAGGGGTCGGGGCGCGGGGAGCCCCCCGGTAAGCCGGCGGTCGTGCACGTCAAGCGGGGTCACGCGGCCTGCCCGCCGGCCCCGGCTGCCCGTGGCGGGAACGAGGCGGTCGCCGCCAGCTCGGACCTCCCGAACGACCGGGCCCGGCCTCAGCCCCGACGGCGCCCCACCGCAGGCCTCACCTCCCTGCGCACGTTCAGCAACGAGTAATAGTCTTCATTGTCCAGCTCCTCCTCGCTCAAGGCCGTCGCCATCTTCGCAACCTT